AGGGTAATGATTGAGGCCACCGTCGCTTGAATTTCCTAGGCAATAAAATTCTCCCCTGGCATTAATACATATTTTGCCTATAGTGTTTCGCACTTAGAAACGCGTACTGGATGGGTCATTGCAATACGATCATGCAATAAGCTGTTTAATTGGATGTTAGTAGATGACCCGATAGATTAACGTGGCTGCAGCAGCTTAAAGATGAGAGAGGAAGTAATTCTTGATTGGTTAAGGGTGAAACGTATGGAGCCACCAGTAGCGGTGCCACCTTGAGCAGTGAGAGTGGCACAATAGGCAGTGGGAACACTACTGGTAGGGAGGAAAGAGAGAACCGGTGAAGTGCAAACTTGAGGTGTATCCATTGGGTGCGTGGTGGGAAACCCGTCTTGGCAGCTCAGGCTCTTCACAGCGTTTCAGACAGTGAGAGATGAGGGGACCACTCTGCTCCTAGGGTCTATCGTAGTAGATTTGGTTGGTAGTGGTTAGGGTGTCTGGCTTTATTTCGATTGCGAATTCATTTTATTTTGCGAGTTTAGAATAAGCTAAACCGGCAGATGCTGCAGGGATAACTCGGGGTTGAATTGTGAGGTCCCTGGGGCCTTGACCCACTAGCGAAGTAATATAGTTCATAGTGGGGTTCTCGATCATGTGTGGCCCCCGGTGACAATATTCCATCGTTGATGCACCTCCATCTCAACGGCCCGAGGATTTGCCAACCGCGACAGAGTATAAGGGATGAGGGCAGCCAATCCCGTTCGAGGCAAACGGGTTTCAGTCGGACTGAAAAATCGGCAAAAATGTTTTTCAAGTCTGGAAATCCAGACTTCAAAAACAGGGGGCGTTTTCAAGACTTCGCGCCCACTGAGTTTGGCCGTGAAATGGGAAGACCGAAAAAGAAAATGTCTTCTTACACTCCGCAAACGGGGGTACTGTCATGCCCCCCCACTGAGTTTGGCCGTGAAATGGTCAGACCGAAGGCAGAAAATGTCTTCTGACACTCCGAATACAGATTTGTTTGCCGATTAGAAAAATAGAAAAACACTACAACACAACCCAAGAAACACGTTACACATCGTAATTTACTTCGCTAGTGGGTCGAGGCCCCAGGGGCCTGGACCCACTGCGAAGTACCCACTGCGAAGTATTCTACGATGTGCAACACAAATCAAACAAACAGACTCTTAAAAAAAAGAAAAGAAAAAAAAAAATACTAAATGATTTTTTATTTGCATGAATGGATCGTTTTTTGATTTAAAATGAATTGAAATAGCACACAGAAGAACAGCTGTGCACCCGAATTCATGGGTTGGTAGGATCTCCTTCACGTAAGTCTTCATAGTGATGTACCGTGGCAATAAAATGTGTCCACGAACACATTCGAACAAGTAACGGGTATTGGGATACATTCCTCACGATATACCTCATGATGCCTTTAGCAGGCCATCCGACAGACGCGGAAGCGTTCCTGTCAGATGCACCACAATATTCAAATTTCACATATCAAATTCTATTTCTCAGAGCCAAAAAAAAAAAAAACGAAGTCCAGAAATCAACCCCCCCCCTTTAAAGCCCATAAAATCCTGACTTCCCGCCCACGCAAAGCCACGAGCTATCATGTCCAAGTTAGTCCAACTTCGTTTTTTTTTTTTTTTTCGACGCATCTCATTGGACGGGAGGTGGGCATCTTTACGGTTCCGGCTCGGAAACTACCAGGCCGTCGAGATCCGATCTATTCGACGACCATACTGAGTCACTCCATGCCACACGTGATCAAAATCCTGAACTGCGTGGTAGAATACCTTTCTAGTGGGTCCAGGCCCCTAGCCTTGTCAATTGAATTTCGAAATATATGAATTCCTTTTTTTTTTTTTTTTTTTTTTAAAGGCACTTACTGTTGCCCAAGAGCTGCGGAGATGAAGGCCCTTCCTCCACAACTGACCAAATGTGCAACATGAGCATGAATCTTCTGGCAGAGCAGAACACAGGTAGATACACTGCTAGTAGTTTAGAGCTTGAAATGGCCTTTTTCCTGGCCGCGTGTGGGGTGGCACAGCCCTGACTGAGTAGCTTCCTATTTGTTTTTCATTTTGCGTTTTTTCTCCTGCTATAGAAGAATCTGGGCTCCATCCAGCCTCCTAGCTCAATTGGTTAGGCACGCAAGTGGCATTCAGGAGGTTGTGGGTTCAATCCCCATGGCTCCAAGCATGGGCACTAATAAAATAAGACTTGAAACCAGAAACAAATAAAAATAAGTGGTATAAAGTAATTTGACACTCTTGGTGCCAACCAACTGAGATAGTCAGCTGGATCCTCCCAGTCGGTATCAGCAAGGTCTTCAGTGAGTGCGTGTGTGAGTGGGTTGCGTGTGGTGTGTGGGAGAGTGTTGGCTTTGGACACTACCATCAAGAAGGCTGCCCATCCCCCACTTTATAAGACCTTTGCCAAGCGTAATGTCTAGAACATAAAGCATGCTACCCGAATGGCTGCGTCCCCGCGTTTGACGCGGTATAACAGTTGGGTTGTGTGAATTTGATATGTATGTCTAGTGTTTAGAAGTCTAAGGGTGGTCTGTAGGTGGCCATACGTCCTCTGCAAGGTGAATAGGTCGTGGATAGAGTAGTTCCGGAAGAGTCAACTTGACCTTTCAAAGTCAGTAGAGGCACCCCGTCAAGTCTCTGAAAGGTCAAGAGTCCTAAGTCAACCCCGAAGGGGCACATGAAAAGGCAGTCCCAGTCCAGTCCGTTTGCAGCAAGTACCAGGGTGGGGACTGCACATCTCGAACGCCTGGGACATTGACAGGCCCAGAACACCAAACAAAACAGTATAAGTAAAGAGGCAGCGATCAGTCATTCACTTATTATCTGGGGAACTACGTGGAAGCGAGCGCTGCTTGAGTGACTTGCTTGTTGAGTTCACTGGTCGTCAGCAAGAAGCCCGAAGGTGGAAGAGGGCGAGCAGTAGCTACTAGGAGGAGGAAGATGACGGCGGCCATAGCCGCCTATGTATAGAAGTTAGGGGATAGTGTGTGAAGTGTGGGTGCAGACATTCAGGGTAGATCCAAGTGTTGTGTGCGTACGTGCATGAGAGAGTGTCTGACGGTGGTTACTGTTACAGTAACAGTGTTCGGATGGGAACTCCAGACTGGCGCTCAGACAACATAGCCATGAGATGTGGCAAGCTGTTTTGTGAGAAACCACGTCAAGCCTGTTGACGCCACTTCACAGAGAGTTCAGTCCCTGCCCAACGATCCAGAGGCCGCTAAATCAAGAAGAAGGAGAGACGGAGTAAAAAAGGCAAGTATAGGAAATCCCCCACCATAGAGCCCCCACTCGCCCCACAACAAGGGGGTAAGGGCAGGGGAGGGTGAGGGGTAAAAGGCAAGGGGTAAGGGGTGAGGGGTGAGAGGTAAGGACTAAAGGAGCCTCGAATATAAGAGATAAGATGACCTTTCATAAGATGTCCTTATTGCATGACCAGTTACATTCATCGTGAACCACATAATTAATCCTCGTTACACTTACAAACTCTTCCCCAGCTTTATCAGATCTAATTCTTGATCAGTACATGTTCATTTCATGTGTTTGAACATCTATACTGAAAATGAAATAAAATCGTCTACTCCACAACAGCTACGTCGAAAGCTATCCGGCATCGTATTTTCTTTATGGCATCTGATTTGAACGTGAAAGGTGGAAGAAACCCTCTCGCCAATAGTGATGCATATGTCAGCATAAACACACCGCATTCGTTGAAGTCGCGCTGCTTTGGAATGCCTTCCACTTCCCATATGTGGTTGAAGTTTTTCGTGTCAATTTCTTGACCTTGTTCGACAGACCTCATGTATAGATATTTTGCGAACCCCCCTGTCACCTTCGCCGCGAGTTCTACATCCGGCGTCAGCGAATCGTAGTACTCAATTTTCATACGCCTGAGGTCTGCCACTACGAGTGTCCAATGTCGGTTTTGCGCGACGTGATAAGGTGCAATGATCAAATCCATGTCGCTAATCACGACCTCTGTGAACCATCTACGAACACGATCGTAATTGAACTTCATATCGCTATCAAATAGTTTTGCGAAAAACAACGAGCTTAAAACTGCTATTGTAGGAATGTGCCCCTTTCCTATTCTAACGACGTTTTCGTTCTTCGAATCGCAATTATGGTGCTTCACACGACACTCATTGTCCAGTCGGACAAGGTTAAGATAAAAATTCACTATCTGGTCGTTCAGCCACTTTTTTTCTATCATTAGCAAGCTAAAATCTCCAACTGTCATCGTTAATTCTTCTTTTGTGTCTTCTTTGAATGAACTGGCTATGACGTTGCTATCCCCAAGTTTCACTCGCAAACGCGTGAGGGCCGACATCTCTCTCTCTGTCAAATTCGTTGTTGCCAAGTGGATGGTCCATCCTTTTTTGCACCTCCGGTTATCCTCCATTGTCGTTTGCGCTGCACATGACAACGCGCTATATCTTTATGTAAGCTAATGTTTCAATACGTCCATTTGTAATCATGTTTATTGCATTCTATTTGTTGTAGTAATGCGTAGTATGTTTTACCTTAAAAGAGTGGGGTGCTTATTATAACTAGTAATTTACGTAGTTAAAACCAATACGCTCCATTGTTTTTTTTTCATGTACTTCCTTCATATTCATCAACCGCATAAAATCGAAGTTATCTTAAACGAGCGAGTTTTTAAAAAACTCCATTACCAATGACATCTCTTCATTACATTCATCGACCGCATTACCAGTGTTTTATGACATACTGCACGTATATTTATGACATTCCTCGCTATTAATCACACTTTCTTTAGATTCATCGATCGATCAGTCGATCGAGAAATACAGATAGAGATAGATAAATAGATAAGGAAAGGGAGACGGAGAGAGGGAGAGAGAGAGAGAGAGAGAGAGAGAGAGAGAGAGAGAGAGAGAGAGAGAGAGAGAGAGAGGTCCTCTCCAATTCACTGCGGAATCAATTGTTATATCACACGTCTATCGCCTAAAATATTTATCCGAGTTGCGTACAAGCACTAACACACATACACAGAGTGTTACGCCAACTCGGACTCAGCCTCTGCATATATCTACACATTAACCGGGTGTTTTTTCTTTATTTCTCTTGTCGACCGTCTCGCAGGTCGACCTTCGATATCCACTTCCTTCTGTTCATCGACATTATCCCTTGCATCCTCATTGTCATCATGCCTCTCTATATGTACGTCTACCCCTTCATCGCTTAACGATATACAATTAATCACCGTCTGGGACGTGGTTGATCCCTCAAGCTTCCTCTTCCCATCCTTCTCCGCCTCATCCAACAGTTTCATCATCTCATTGGAATCTTTTTGCACCTCACTCGCATGTTCTGCATACCCACCTTGTTGCATTCGATCTGAATTTGCCACGTTTGTGGAAGGAGTGGGACTCTCCATCTGCGATGCACTCTGGTTTTCCGCCTGAGTAAATAGAGGAGGCCCGCACGATGCAACGTTCGAAGGATCTTTATCGACATTCCGTGTTCCCTTGTCCACCCCCATTATCTTGACATTAGTTTGACTCATCGCTTCCCCGACACTGACAGCAAAGTGCGTCGTCGACTGGCCCCCAAGTTGTGAGCATCCCGACTGGATTGTCTCGATGCCTTGACATGCAGGAAGTTCGATCTTCCAATCGATGGTCTTGTATGACCGGCTTGACGGCAAATCATAGAACTTGTGTTTGTATTCCAGCTGATTGCTGACGTGCAAAGAATCGAATAGCAATTGAGCCTTCTGCTCAATCGCCGCCTCGTCCGCTCCATCGTTTTCGCACTTGACACAGAATACGATTTCGCGCTTCGTCACTTTCAGCCACGGTACTTCTGCCAGTCTGGCTTTGACTTTCCATCCTGATGTTAGATGCAGTGCCATCATCCACTCCCCCTTGAAAATGCATGGCTCGAATACGTCTGTGTGCCACAAAATGTGGTGTCCCCACTTCTCAGACGTCGTTTCTGGCACCTTGTCTTCAATGAAGTACGGTTGTTCACTGACCTGCACAATGCGATCGGGAATATCATCACCAGGCATCAGCCTTGGAAGGGCATCTGGAACCGCCAAGTCATCCTCATTGTCGTCTGCCATCATGTTGTGTTCCGTGTTTCCTCGAAGAGTGCGATGTCTCCCCTGGAGCCCGTAACGATTGCCATGAATCAATGTATTCTCAAGTGATTGGAGGGGCGTAGGCGAATCCGTTTGCATCTGTTCAACGGAACTCGCCCTGTCGGTCACGTCACGCGTTGGACTGCTCGCACCTCCCGATTTCTTGCGACCTTCTTCTTGATTCTCGTTCGGCACGCTGCATGCTGGCACACTCTGCATTCCCTCTTGCAAACGTTTCACTCGCTCTTCGATTTCAAGGTCCGATGTTTCAATCTCCTCGTCACTCTCTATCGGATTCTATGCATAGGTTGTTTTGGCGATTTTGTTGTACTCATCGTACGACAGCGTAGCCTGATTGGCTGCGAACCTCATTTGTTCACATCTTGCCACGAACATTGCAAACGCATCCACGTGCGCTTTATGGTAGCCACCATACGCTTCCTATGCCATCGCTTTGCGAACTATGTAGTCATTCTCGAATGGCGATTTGGGTTGGCCTTGGAACAGATAGTCCCACATCTTGTTTCTCTTCTTGCCCAGCTTGTGGTACATATMTCTGTYCRGRCGMTGCRYCGTCTTCTGCCTCTCMACCGYGCAATCGTTTCTTGCGTCCTTCCCAAGAATGTCGATGGCCTTCGTCAAGTACGAGATGTTTTTGGACGACCCGTCGCATGCAAAAACATGATAGCCCGCGCGCAGAAGCTCCCACACAAGTCCAGCATGTGGCTTTCCGATAAGTAACACCCCCTGATCCTCGTGCAAAAATGAACTACATAGCTTCTGCATCCGTGTCGGATGTCGTTCCCACCGCCCATATTCCTCTCGTTCGTTTCCTTCATCGCCGCCGTGCTTTGCTGTGCACCTCTTGAACTTCTCCTCCTCAACGTGAAGCTTCACTAGCTCCGCCTCCGACTTAGGGATCCTCGTGACCTTCCTGAGATCGCCGCCCTCGGCATGCAGGACGACCGCCATCGTGTCCTTGTAGTCGGCTTGCAAGTTTCCGTACTTGCTGACAGCCGTCCCAACGAGATAATGTTTCCAAGTCCCAGGTATCACCTCTGCGTCGTCCCAGTTGTACAGTTGCCGCATGACGATCTTCTGTTGTTTTTGCGGGGTAAAAACAATCAGAATCCGATTACTGCCGCACAATTTCGACATCATTTTGTGCAGAGCATCGAAATCGGCCGGCGACCATGCAAGGCAGTCCTTCGGGTTTGCGAGATCGAGGATGGCGGCCTTGCAATTCAAGTTCGTGGCTGTAGTCACAATTTCATCGGTCGCGGGCAGCAACTCCTTCGGGTGCATGTTGACCGGCAGCAATGTCGACCGTCGCCCTTTCTTCTCCCAGCACAGATGAAGCGCATCGTTCTTCAACCGTTGCAACTCGACTGTCAGCAAGTCCACTTTCCCTATGGCGTGGTACACGAAGTACTTGAAGTGGAATGGCGCGTCCCTGTACAATGCCTCCGTGACCTTTAGACCAGCTCCTTTCAGGTTTTTTTCCTCTTGCTCTCCGCCGAGTCTTTTCGGAACCCTCCGGACGTATTCCAAACGGATCCTATCCCTTTCCTCATCCCATTTGCCTGCCTTAATGCCAAACCTCTCCTCCACGTTTTCATAGTCGAAGAAGTTCCCGTCCTTCCATTCTTTCGTCTCTCTGTTATCCGATTCGAAGACGATGTAGTTGAACAGACGCATCATGTACCTCTCACGCATTATGATGTCGAGGAGGTTGGTCATATTCAACTTCCCAGGAGGAACCAGTCTAGTAGTGGCGATGACTTTCTTATCTATCATCAACCGCAATGCAATTTCTTTCTCTCGTGCCGTCATATCTCCAAAACATTTGAAGTTTGACGGAACGAGATCTTTGAAGGACACTGTAGCGTTCGGTCCCCCGTCCCTAGCCGCTATGCAATGGAACACCTCCTTCTTCCCCTGCACCTCTTCGGTGAATTGGCCCGGCAACCGCCCCTCCTGCTTCCCCGGCAAGTCCTTCAGGCATTTGTTGTCGTGTAGCGGCAACTCCCCCGCCTCGAACTTCTGAAAAAATTCCTTTACCACTGGTCATATCCTGTCCTTGCATGTGGCGACATTCATGTATCCCCTCATTCTGTTCGTCCAGTCTGTTTGCTACTTCGGAGACAAAGACTCCGTCCACAGCGATTTTTCACATGACTTTCCCATGCAAAGTCTCAAAAATTTCCTCCACTCTTCCTGGTGCGCCACACCGGTGGGATCCCCTTTGGACACGTTCCCCACTGGCCCGATCCGTTTCTTCAAGTCCCAAAATCCTCTGATGTCCTCGCAGGCTTGGTGGAACGACGGTAACATAGCACAGTCAACTCTCGTGTTGTCGTATGTCGAAACATACATGTACCCGTTCGTGTGGTCGTCGTCGAAATAAATGATCCGTACACGATCATAATTCCGAAAGCCGAACACCTCAACGGCTTCAGATTTCCTCGCCACTGCTCTTTTCATAGCTTCGAAAGTATGTTGACCGGCAACCGGGTAATAGAAATACTCGTTTGCCCTATCGGGATCGAAGTCCTGCGGAAGGACTCGTGTCCCTTGGCTGTCTGGATGCTCAAGCGATGGCATAATCGGAGCCAGCACCAACTCCGATGGATCCCACGGGGCCGGATCATCCGCGGACCTTGGACGAGTTGATGCCTCGATTGCCGCATCGATGCCTGCAACGATGGCCAAGTTCAGCGATCGCTGGTTGAAGGTTATATCTCCCGCCAGAATTGGAAGAATCTGCACAACGTCAATCACCACCCTAGGCGGGTCTCTTCTCTTTTTGCCGTCGTCGTCGTACTCGAGGAAGAAGCACTGCGTCATATTGACCGCACTGGGTTTCTTCGTCTCCTGCTCATCGTCGTCAGGGAGGGAGAGCAAGCGAGGGGCCACGCCTTCAACATCGTCGCTGGAGTCGTCCGATTTCTGACGCCTTGATGGTCGCACGGGTTTCTTGGGTTGTGACGTTTTGCGAATCCGAGCACTTGATTTGCATTTCACATCGACGTCACCAAGCGTCCCTTGAGATGCATCCAAGGCGACCCGAGCTTCGTCCACAGCTTTTCTTCGAGCCTGTTTCTTAGGCGCAGCAGGCTTCGGCGACGATTGTGCAGTGCGTTTTCCCCTCCCCTTGGAAGCAAGCCCCGCGGAAGCATCCACGTCTTCTCCTTCGTCTTCCAATTCCTCGTCTCCCATTTCCGAACCACGCACAGCACCACCGCCCACCCCACTGCCCGCCGCAACCTTTTCCCACTCCATATGGTCTGCCCCTCCTCCAACCTGTTCTCGACGCTCTCCAGTACCACACTCCCCTTCATCCTCGTCGTATTCCCCATCGTCCCTCACCTGGGCTTCGGCACCTCCACCAGCTTCCCGCCCCACATTCACATCGCAAGAGCCTTCGCCCTGGATGTGCCGAGGTGTCGCTAACAACCCTGATTGCATTCGGTGAACCCGTTCGTCTTCTTCCGTTTCTTCGTCCGACTCCTCATCTGTTCCACGTTGAGCGGTGTCCCGCGAGCGCGAGATGGCACCAGAACGCGAGCTTCCAGGAAGATCCGAAGGAGGTATGGGGAGCCCCTTCTTCTTCAAAAGGTTTCCCGATGGACCACCGCCCGAACGCCTCTGGTAAGTAATGACTTTCTGCTTCCCGCCGGCAGGTTGTTGCGGGGTCGATACGACCTGCCGCCGATCGCTAGAGCACGTTGATAAGCCTGCGAGACTCTCGACACGAGCATCGAACGGGACAAGAGGTAACGAGAGCTGGTGACCAGCGGCGACCGTCGGGAATTGACCACTTTTCCTATACCCGTTGGTCTTGCTGAGGAATTCAATGGGTAAGAGCATCTTCAAGGCATTCCCATCTCGATTGCCGCCGAAGGCTTTCATAGCGAATGCCTTCTGACCCCCATTCCAACCCCTTCTCCTCGGCACAATCCCCATTCCACTCCACTGCAACCGACGACGTGCCATCGCCCGTCCCCATCCTATCTTGCCTGCACGAAATCTCCAACGCACACCGTCGCACGCCATCGCCATTTTACGCCCATCATGCTACTTCGCGCCGCTCTGTTTCACGCTTCGCTCCGCGCTCGCCTTGCCAGGCCGTGCTGCGTCGTTCTCCCGCGATTCCTGTACCGGACGGTGCGCAGCGCTCCCGGACGCGCTGCGCCCCAGTATCCTCCCGCTTGGAAATGAAATCATGCAAATCTCTCTTGAATATCTCTACAATACAATGCATCGATATCCTCCATGGTGTTCTTTGTCAGGACCTTCAAGGACTGAGAGGGTCAGCGGGGCGGGGGAAGGGGGGGCTAGAGCTGCGGCCATGCTCTTGTGTCCCACTTGTCCAGATTTAAGATGTTTTTTCCGCACGACGGTACATAGGCACATGCATATGTCGTCACTTTTCCAAAGGGCCCTGGTTTTATCTTAAGGGACTTCATATCCAACAAGGCGCTATGGCCAAGCCATTGCAGATTCTCTGCCTTGTTAGAGTCAAAGAGGACGAAAAGGTCCATGCGGGCCATCTGATGGCTGCTTCCTTCCTATCTGTATAGTGCCTTAGCCCCAGCTGCGAAGTTGTTCCGAAATAAAACCTTTACTTGTTCGGTGAACACCCCCTCCCTGTCCTTCCCTAGGATGGGAAAATTCCACCCCTGCAAAGTGATCCCCCCTTTTCTGTCATTTTCCCCTGTCATTGACAGCCACTTTCCTTCTACCTTCCCCATTGGTATGTAGTTCTGAGTAGAGAACATTTTGATTAGCCTTCCTGATCACTCTTCCTTATTGGCTAGTACTTACGAGTGTGACTGCTCAGATCATGATTCTGATTAGCAGAAAATCATCAGTTTTAGCATCATCATCATCATCCTCATCATCATAACTTGGTTACTCCGGGTAGAATGTGAGGACCCCGGCCTCAATATTCTCAAATATCAATACAAGCCTTGGGCACTGGGCCCTTATAAAAAAAAAAAAAAGAAAAAAAAAAGGACCCCATTTTCTGTTGAGCGGCGGTTTTCATACAGTCCCTTCTCGATTATCTGCCGGATTTCTTTTTTTTTTTTTTTTTTTTGTTAAACAAACAACCCGAGAGGGTGCTAGGGGTGCTGGTAAGAGCAGACACCACTAGCATTTCCCAGGAGGCTCCATCTATTGGTGGGGAGCAGCACCTGCTGGAAAACGGGTCCAGCGTCCCTGAACATTCAGTTTGCTTCATCAGACAAATATGCAGTTGTAATGACAGCCAGAAGAAAGCCTCATCTGCGAACGTGGAATTTTGGCAGGCAGCACTACGCCGCATTCTGAGCTGCTTGCCTACCTGACAGCCTAACTCTATCTTAGTCCTGTTCCGTGTCGTGCATTGTTGGTTCTGTAGTTCTTATCTGCCAGATTTTTAACCGTTTCAAAACCAGGAGTTCCTCCTGCTGCCCAGTTTGGCTATCAGGTCCTTGCAGGGGCTTCTTCTACTGTACCAGATTTTCCTCTGCGTGTCGGGGGAGATCCCCCTGCGGGGGCTGAAACAGGTCTTTTATAATGGCCAGGATTCGCTGAAAGGCTTCAGCCCATGTTACGTGGGGCGGCGGCCCCATTGCCAAGGCTTCTCTCACGGTGGGGCTATTATCTACTAGGCTAAAAAGTCGAACGTACGCATACCAAAACTCGGGCTCCACGGTCGGTAGCTGGGTCTTTAGCTGTTTTAGCAGCCAGTCCGTTATACCTCTGACAAAAGTCCAAGTTATATGATCCAGTAGGCCAATTATGAACAGCAACATATCATTCTTTTTTACGAAAATTTGCATCATGACCCTCAATGTGGCATTGATTTGCATCAAGCACCTCTGATGACTGACTTACCCAGTTGGGCACCTCTGACCACAGTCCAAGTCAAAAACCCTGATGCCGGTTGGACATGAGATATTTTCAAAAAGGCCCCACAAGTTGTTTTTTTTTTTTTTTTTTTTTTTTTTTTTTTTTTTGCCCGAGGCTCCAATTACGAAATTGATTACAATGCGTACACACACGCCTCTTCCCATTACGGCTGGAAGAGCCTCAGCCACTGCTTCCGTGGAGACAGTTTCCTGTTCTACACGAATATAGCATGAGCAAGGGGCATTGATTGTTTCCCCAGTAAGGAAGGATTGACCCCATTGTGCGCAAATTCAAGCTCTACCCTACTCTCCTCAATTACCCCTACTTCTAACCATTCTGCGCCATGAGGAGTGGGGGAGATTAGAATAGGGCAGAGAGGATGCTAATGGGGAAAGGAGAGTCTAGTAATTCATTTGTAATTACGTCGTATTTCCCCTGAGCAACAGTAGTTTGTGATGCGCTTAACCTCACGCCCCGCTCAGCGTTCGGTACCGGGTCCGCTGATCAGAGTAGTAGGGGGGGGGCGTGGCCGAGGATTTTTTCCAATGGGGGTGGAGCCCCCAAAACAAAAATGGGGGTCTTCTAGTTGGGGCCGAGGGTTGCCTTGGCGGGGGCTCGAGCCGCCGTCGAGGACGAAGGACGGGCACGACACCCGTCTCGTTCAACCGTTGAGCAGGGGGTGGGGGAAAACCCCAAAAGTGCCTCGAAAAAGGGAGGAGCAGGGAGGAAAGCGGGTGAGAAGCGGGGGTTCCCGCTCCTCACGATGTCGGGTCCGCAGTGACGATGGGGGCCGTCAGTCTGGACTTTCCCAACTTCGTCGTCAGGTCCGTCCAAGCCGCGGGGGCATCCCGGCGCAGGGCCTCCGGTGGTGGAGTGCGTCGCGGGAATCGTCGTTCGGAAGCGGGCCGGAAGGGCGCCCGCGTTGCGGGAGAGTTCGGGGAACCGGGCTGCCCCTTCGTACTCCAGAACTAGCCGTCGCCAGGAGCACGAGTCCCCCTGACGGCACCAGCGACAGTTAAACTGGGGCCGCCCCGTGGCGTGGGCCGCGGACCAGGGTAGCACCATCAGGTCGGTGTAAGGCAATATCAGAGATGGGGAGGAGAACCAGTCAATCAGTACAAACCCACTCCCTCCGATATGGCACGCTCTGTCGGGATTGTGCCAATGGACCGACTCAGTTCGTCGCAGGGCGCCCCGTACATCTGCGTCGCAGTACACGCTATCGTCGTCGGCGATAGGGAAGGTCGGCAACGCGCTGAGACGTACGGAGTCGAAGGAGGGGCACGGGCGGGAACCCGTGCTCACGTTCGACCAGGGCGACTCTGGCTCCATGCAAAGAGCGACAGCTTCTCGCCCGGATCTCTCTCTCTCTCTCTCTCTCTCTCTCTCTCTCTCTCTCTCTCTCTCTCTCTCTCTCTCTCTCTCTCTC